GGCATTGAGCCGATATTATGGAGAAATTTCGAATGCAACCTAAGAATTATTACAACAGTCATACGATTTCAAACGATACTTAGGAGGCATGTACAGTCAGCGTCAAATATATGCATACCATGACGTTTTGCGGATTTTTTGATACTGGCGATATTTTATATTTTTAATATAAAATTTTTTTCTTAATTTTTTTTTATTTCATGCAGATCTCGTGAAAATTCGGGAAATACCAAGAAATTTTCATCGAAATTCTAAATTTTTCAGTTCGATTTCTTAGACAGTTGCAGAATACAGTTTTGAAGCCCATTAAACTTTTGGAAAATTGTTTCGCTGAGGGTGTTGCGTACCTTCTTTCATATGAAAAAAGATTGCGTTCACGTGTTATATGGAAGAAATTGCGCACCACCCTTGGCAAAATAATTCTCAAAAATCAACGGTACTTTTTAGCGACTTGAAACTTGCACTTTATTGTACTGAAATTGGGCTACAAAATTGCATACTAAAAAGTTTTCTAAAAAATGGAATTCAAAAATTGAAATTTCGATGAAATTGATTTTTATGGTTTTTGCGGTTGAACGAACTATATTTTTCTAAAAAAAAAAAAATGATAAAAATTTGGTATGGAAAATATGTATGCAAAATCTCGAAAACATTAGGCTATGCATATTTTTGATGCTGACTGTACATAAGGGTGGTCCAAAAAAGTTTAAGATGTTTTGCTCTTACCTCCTAAGATTTTACTAATTGCAAAAAATACTTGTATTTTTTTTATATAAAAAGCAAGATATTTGGAACTTCCTGAAGTCCATAAAGTTTTCCGTGCAGTTTAGTATATGGGGAAATACACATTTTCGTGGAAATGGTATAGAATTCTTGAAATCAATATTTTTCGATCGGAAAACTTTGTTTCTTTTCAGAAGACTTTCAGTAATGATACCCGATTGTTTTCTTTACCATTTTTTGATACTAGCGATTTATTATGAGCCTCCTCATTGCATTTTTTGTTGTTTTTAGAGGACTTTTAATAAATACATAGTTAATATTAAAATATTGTTAAATAAACAATTGGGTATATTGGAAGCCTACTAACGAGAAACAAAGTTTTCCAATCGAAAAATATTGATTTCCAATAATTCCACATCATTTCTTCGAAAAAGTATTTTTCACATATAAAATACATTGAAAACTTCACTAGCCTTTGGAGGCAGTTCTAAATATATTTTTTCTTAACAAAAAAATACGGGAATTCTTTTTTCTGCTTAAAAAAATCCTAGGGAATGAGAGCTTAACATTTTAAACCTTTTCCCCGCACGCATTTTTCGACCATCCTACTGTTCATACATATGTAAAACTCCGTATACATTAGGGTGGTTCAAAAATACACAAGAAAATCAACTTTTGGATATAAGAAGACCCGTATTTTTGTATTTTTTAATCGGTTAATAAATAATTAAATTAAAATTAATTAAATTAAAATAAAATCTTTCAGCTATTTTTTTAAAACGTGCGTGATGTGAATACAAACGCCCTAAATAAGTAATTTTTGTATATGTGTAAAATTATCGGTTATGAATAAGTAGTTAGTCAAATTATAAAATTAAATATGCATCAGAATTTTATTGTTTCGAGGATTTATGAAGGGAATTTTTTTTTATGCGATCCAAATAAAAATTATTTTTAACGACTTTATAGCAATTCTACAAAAATGTCAACCGATTTCAAAATAAAATAAATAATATAAAAAAACTTTTTAATATACAACGCTTTTATAAATGGACTAAAAAGTAGAAAATAATACTTCTCAGTCCCATAGAATTTGTTTTGATAACTTTTGATTTTGAAATTTTAGCAAAAGTCATTATAAACAATCTATGAAATTGAAAATGAAAA